GTTAGCTGCCATGTGTGTTTTGAGATTCAAACCCGGGTCTTCTGCAAGAACAGTCAATGTTCTTATCCTCTGAGCCATCTTTCCAGCCCTGAAACATACTATTCGTGCAGAAGACTGGAGTTCTATTCTCAGTACCTGTTGGGTGGCTCACAACTGCCTGTAACTCCAGCACCAGTGCTCTGTGGGCACTACGCTCATATTCACAAACTCATACATAGACCACCACATAACACATACTTAAAAATAACATTTTTATAAAAATTAAGGTGAAGTCAAAATCAGTAAAAATAGATTTCTTAGAAACTTATTTAGTAGGATTATATAGAGACATTATTTAGAATCTACTTCCCATTCTATATATCATCTAAAAGTATAAAAATAATATATATCTGGTGGACTTAGTAGCAAAAGCCTTTAATCCCAGCACTCCAGAGGCAGAGGTAGTGGAGTGAGTTTGAGGTCAGCCTGATCTACATAGGGAATCCAGGTCAGCCAGGGCTACATAGTGATACCTTGTCTAAACAAACAAAACTCATATGTGGTGTTTTGTGGAATAGCTGTTGCATAGATTGTTAGGTAAATGCACCCAGTGATTATAGTTATTTGAATACTTCGTGTTTTGTGGTTCTTAGCTTCCTCTTGAATATTAGAACAAAGAATATGTGATATTACTGAGTGAAACTTTTGTTTTTGCTTTCTAAATATTTCAACCATGATTAAGGGTGTTGCTGTTCAACATTAACTTAATTTTATTTTTAATGCCTTTAAAACTTTTTATTACATTTATATTTTGTGTGCATGGGTGTGTGTGTGTATGTATGTGTAGTATGTATGTGTAGTTGCATGCCATTGTACATGTGTGGAACTTGTAGGAGTCAGTTCTTTCCTTCTACTGTGTGATTCTGGGTATCAAACTCCAGTCATCACAGCAAGTGCCTTTATCTGCTGAGCCATCTCACCAGCCCCTAATTTGATTTTCTTAACTAGCCCTGTTTCTTATTGCTAGTCTGTGTTTTGCTAGTAAGTGACCATGTAATACTGTTGCTCAATACTATATAACTCAGTTTATACAAATTAAATACTCAAGCCTTTCAGTGTTGTCATTTTGATATACTTTATATAACATCTTTTATTATTATTAATTAAGTAATCACAACATTTTTACTTCAGAGTGGCTTAAACATGCATGGGCTTTAGACTATATTAAATCAAACTTTTGAGTTCCTCCTTTATCTTAGCTCTCATCATACTAAGCACTATCCAAATATCAGAGAACTGTACAACAGTTACTTTTCTTTTTTAAAATATTTTATTATTTTTATTTTATGTGTATGAGTGTATTGCATGCATGTATTTGAGTGCACCCCTGTTGGGCAATGCCACAGAGGTCAGAAGAGGGCTTAGGATTCCCCTGGAACTGGAGGTACAGACAGTTGTTAGCCGCCATGTGGGTGCTGGGAATCAAACCCAGGTCCTCTGCAAGAACAGTCAGTGCTCTTAACTGCTGAGCCATCTCTCCAGTCCCACTTTTCTTATTGTAACAGGAGGGCCACATTTATGATTTCTATATGTTTCTAAGTCTCTAAGATTCTGTGGTTTCTCTTTATTATCTGTACACTAAAGAAAGGATGGGGGCTGGAGAGAGGGCTCAGCAGTTTAAGAGTACTGGCTGCTCTTTCAGAAGACCCAGGTTCGCCAGTACCCACATGGTGACTGATAACTGTCTGGTTCCAGGGGATCTGACACATTAAAAAAAAAGGATGGCCGGTAGTTTTTTTCTTCTTTCCTAGTTATAGAAAACAGGGCACATTTTCTCAAATTAAGATTGCACTTGGGGCTGGGCTGGGTATGGTGGCGCACGTCTTCAATCCCAGCAATCTGGAGGCAGAGGCAGGTGGATTGGGTCAGGAATTCAAGATCATTCTCTGCTACACAGCCAGTTCTAGGCTAGACTAGGCTACATGAGACCCTGTATCAGAAAACAAATAAAAAGCATAATAAGAATTAGATTAGTAGTCAAACAGGATATATAGAAGAGGAGACTCCTAAAATCTCATAAAACTAAAAATAAAGTGATTTGGGGTGTGTGTGTGGGGGGGTGTGGGTATGTTTTGAGATGCACTTTTAAGTCTCATTATGTGCCCCTGGTTGGCTTTGAGCTCAGGACAGTTCTCCTGTCTCAGCCTCCGAAGTGCTGGGATTATATACACATGTCACCATACCTGGCCAGTAAAGTGATAAAGTGAGTTGAATTTTAATAGTGTTTGTGATGGCTGATTTTTACTGTTTTCTTGGGCCAATTTGATTATAATTTATTTTCTTTTTTAAAAAGTATTTTATGTGTATGAGTGTATTGCCTGCATGCTTGTAAGTGTACCTGTTGTTGTGCGATGCCCCCAGAGGTCAGAAGAGGATGTTGAATTCCCCAGGAACTGCAGTTGCAGATGGCTGTTAGCCACCATGTTGATGCTGGGAATCGAATCATGTCCTTTGCAAGAGCAACTGAGCCATCTCTCCAACCCCCTCCCCTTTTTTTTAAGTGATGTGACGGGCAAGGATTTTAATTTGCCTACTGTTTGTTTTCTACTTTTAGTGATAGGTAGTAAATAGTACATTAATAGTACAATTTCCACATTGTACATTTTCTTTTTTTATTTTCTAATGTGTCCCTAGTCCTTATTTGGTAATTTAGATCTGTAAGATTTCTGGCAAAGAAGTATGTTGTTAGAATGAATTCTATGTGGTGATAGAGATGTTACTGGGCCAATGGATTATAGAAGGATTTGCTTTGGGCTGGAGAGATGGCTCAGTGGTTAAGAACCCTGCTGGGTTCAGTTGCTAGCACACACATGGTAGCTAACTATCCATAATTACAGTTCCAGGGGGGTCTAACACCTTTCCCCCACCTCTGGCACTGCACACATGTGGAACACTAACATACATGCCAGGCAAAACACTCATACACATAAAATTTAAAAAATAAAATATTTTTTAAAATCAGCATTTTGGTAGGTACAGAATTGTCAGGCCCCCAGTACCCTCTTAGGTCACTGTAATAATTTAAAAAGTGCCCTTAAATAATCTCACCTATTCTTCTATAATGGCATATCCATTTAAGACTACAACATGTTTTCCATTTTACTATAGGATTGTACCTAGAAGATCTGTGGAGTTTCCAAGTTAATGTGTCATCTGCTGTGGGAGGAGCTGCTGACTATGCTTTTTGTTTTTGCTGGAGTTTTTGTTGTATTTCTATCCATGGGCTTGGTAATTTTTTCTTTTTTCTTTTCTGTTGCAGGTTGCCAGAGTCGTTGTATCTGATTCACCACAGCTCTCTGAAGGAAAAGAAGTAAAATTGAAGGAGCTAATTGACACTCTAGTTTCTAATCCTTTTTTAACCAGGAAACAAATTCCCCGAACTCCAGAAAACTTGAGTAAGTCAATGCTTTCTCTCCCGTTTTCCCTTTCTTACACATTATTACCACTACTATTACAGTCATGAACTGGCAAAGTTTTTGGAAACTTTTTTTTTTTTGAGACAGGGTCTCCCAGTAGTCCCGGCTGGCCAGGCTGACCTCGAACTCAGAGAGATCCGCCTGCCTCTGCCTCCCCAGCACTGGGATTAAAGGTGTGCGCCACCGCGGCCAGCGGAAACATAATTTAAGACTCACCTGTATTTTTCAGTTCTTTTATTTATTCTGATGTAATGGAATTTTATTGAAGCGTTCAGTGTGGTCACTTACATATATATAGCAGTCTTTCGTCAGTATTATTTTATGACTTCAGTGTACCTACATAGAGGTATTATCAGCCCTGATAATGCCATAGTTTTGTTTTTATTGTGTTACTTAGCTTTCTTTCTGCAAAGTATTTTTATTTGATCGTTTTAAAAAAATTTATGGGGGCGCTGGAGAGATGGCTCAGAGTGTTAAGAACACTGGCTGTTCTTGCTGAAGACCCGCGTTCAAATCCCAGCACCCACATGGCAACTAACAACTGTCCGTAACTCCAGTTCCAGGGGATCTGAAGGCCTCTTCTGTCCTCTGCGGGCATTGCATGACAAGGATGCACTTCCTACATGAGGCAATACACGCATACACATAAAGTAAGATAAAAACTAATAAGTAAAATATTTTTAAAAAATTATGGGGCCAGGGCTGGAGAGATGGCTCAGTGGTTAAGAATACTGGCTGCTGTTGCAGAGGACCGGGATTTGAATTCTAGCACCCAAGTGGTAGTTAACACGTGTCCATAACTCCAGTTCCAGGGGATCTGATGCCCTCTTCTGTCCTCTGTGGGCACTGCATGACATAGGCGCACTTAAACGCATGCAGCCAATATACTGACATACATGCATAAAAAAAATTATGGGGCTATTATGATGGTTCAACTAATAAAGGTGCTTCCCAACCATTCTGATGACTGAGTTGTACCCCCAGGAGACACGTAATGGAAGGAGAGAATAGACTCCTGAAAATTGTCATCTGACCCCCACACATGCACTGTGCAAGTGTGTTCACATACATAATACATACCATTCAGATACAGATTAAATAAATAAATGTAATTTAAAAATTCTGTTCTTTAGATCAGACTTTCACATTTATCAAGTATGACAGCTGTGTTTTCCCAGTCACCAACCCATAGCCCCACCAAAATGTGTGTGTGTAGATCTTTACCAACCTCAGCAGAAATAATGAGTGCCAAATGCTTTTCCCATAACCTGTAATTTGTGTAGGTAAATCTCTGTTACTGATTTCCTTATATAATCAGTGAAGGTTATCTTGGCTGAATGATTAAATACAATTTCTCTTTGGCTGACGATTTAATTCAGGTTGAATGGAGACAGGCTAGGTTGGTGGGCTTCAGGGGACAGCCTGTGAGCAATCTGGACCTGCAGTGTATTTTCCTTTAAAAACTGTATTTAAGAAGCCAAGTGTAGTGATGCATGCTTTTAGTCCTGGCACTTACAGCAGGTGGATCTTCATGAGATTGAGGTCAGCCTGGTCTATGTAGTGAGTTCCAGGCCAGCTGGGGCTGCAGGGAGACCCTGTCTCAAAAAGACCAAAAAAAAAGTTTTTTTTAAAAAAAGTTTGCCAAGTTCTGGCATAGAAGGCCAAGAAAATGTCTTTTTAAATGTGA